GTCTGAAACCATTAAGATAAAATTTGGTATGAAAATGTATGAGAGATTAAACAAGATACAAAATAGATTTCATATGAATACACTCAATTTCTTATACGGTCGAAGATTTGATGGCTTAGTTTTTAGTTCAAACGAAGTTTGAATTTATGAAGTAAAGATTTTTATTGTAAAGTTCCTAGGGCCTACCTTATTTAGGTGATGTAGTTCTCCCAGTTTTTTTTTTTATATTAAAACAAAAGTAATGATCTGATTTCGACAAAGTTTTAATGTTTTGAGAATATACTCTTTCAAACAAAAAAGTGATATATGGATACAAGAAAACAGTGAAGTTAAAAACCAATTTTTATTTTTGAAGTTCATTAAAAATAAACCACTCTAAATAGAAGTTGCGGGCAAAAGCTAGTTATCTATATAAAATTTAAACGTAAAATTGTAATAAGCATCACCAGTTTAAAGTCTGGATAGAATTATTATAATCTAACCTAAATTCTCTACTATCTCCAGATTATAAACTGGCAATATTTATTATTTAAGATTATTATATGCAATATAATAATAATAATAATAAAAATTGAATTTATTTTCCTCACAAATACAGGAACATGGTTACATGTTTATTGACTAAACACAATTTACAAAAAGAAGATTGCCTGTCGACTTTGTGAGGAACTGGTGTCTGTAAGGGGCGATAGCCTGAAATACAGATCACCAGGACCCACCCCTCGGGAATTATGACTATTTTCGCATTAAAGAACTAAGTAACTATTGTGCTAATTTTACTACAAGGAAAATATTGGAAAAAAAAAAGAAAAAGTTAAAAAGTGAAACAATCAAGTAGTAAATTTGTGTTTGATTATGTATGTTGAATATTTATGTAAGTGAACAAGTGTGATAGTAAGAAAGTTTCAGTGTGAATGTGTTTTGGTGATGTGTGTTTTTATATAATAATAGTTATTAGTTTATGTATGTGTTGTTAGTAAGTTCTCTGTTTCGTTATAATTAAGTTTCTGTAGCCAGTTTCCAATCTTTTTCTTTATCTGTGTTTTCGTAAGTTTGTATATTGGATGTAATTTACTTATCTTATTATATAAAGAGGCGCCCTGGAAACAAATATGGGTGATGACTAATATTTTTTATATCTGTCCGTCAGAAATATTATCGAAGAACATTAAACACGTTTATTTAACGTAATCAATAAATTACGACGACACAATGAGTTGAAATGTTGCATGAAATCACTCATTTTTTACATAGTTGTGACGTAGTTAGCCCCTCCCCAATTTTAATGTCTATTATCTAAGCCATTTCTTATGAAATTGAAGCAAAAAATTTCGAAGAATTTCTTTTTTTTACACAAGGCATATACGCAATCATGGGACTGTGTGTATGCAGACATCTAAATGTAACAGGAACCTTTAAATTTACGAAGCGTCGAACGTGAGCAGTCAGAAATAATTTTTGTTTTAAAATTCCAGTTCCACGACGGCACATTTGTAAAGCTTTGCACATTCTCGCCGCAACTCGGCACGTGCGGAGATTTGATGGCGAGACCATAATTTTTATAGAGATTTTGAAAGTTTTAAAGCCAAAACGTCTATTTAATTTTATTTAGAGTTCATTCTAGTGTTCTATAATTCTGATATAGCAACGATAGTACATATGCGAATAGTGTCTATATTGCTTTTTGTATTTTATATTAATATATATAGATGGATGGATGAGGGAGGCGCAGGACCGATCGCTTTGGAGATCTTTGGGGGAGGCCTATGCCCAGCAGTGGGCGTCTCTCGGCTGAAGTGATGATATACGTAAACATTTTGTGTAATAGCTATTATTGATATTCACCTCATCAATATCATTATCAGCCCCTTTACGTACCCACTGCAGGGGTTCAGACCTTCCTTATAGATGGTTAAGGAGAATGAACCATGACTCTCCTCCCTGGCCCAATGCTGATTGGAGGGTATTATCGACCGCAAATGCAGCCGGAACCAACGGCTTAACCTAACCTAACCGAAGCACCGAGTAGATCGAGATAACAATATTTTGGTCACCCATCCCGTGACCGACCCTTGTGAACTTAACAATACCGATCGTAGACCGCGGCGCTTATCCACTACGACACCGAGCGACGAATATTCTGTATCGATATTCACCGTTGCAATTAAAATAAAAATTAAATTGCATTCTATGAATAAACCGCTTATTAAACATTTTCGATCTTAAACTACTCGATAGTTCGTTATTTGGCGTTTAATAGGATACTGTGTAGGTGGGAAAGGTTACGCTTTCCTCAATTAATTAACAAGACTAAGCGATATCGATCATCATAACGAAGTTACTGGGTTGAAAGACAATAAAGGGAAGCCTGGTGTAATAAGGTTTTAGGATTATAAAGCACTTAATCCTTACAAATTGAAAGCAGTTTTGAACGTGATGATACCAACCAAGAGCGTACAATCGTTTGACACCAAAAAATTTCGTTTAGGAGAATAAACAAAAAAATATAAAAGATTTAGTAAATATTAAGTATAATACGAAAGTTCTTGGCAATCTTATGCTGTATGAAGGCTAGCCTACTCCGCGAGGCCTGATATCTTCAGGCTTGTATGGAAACGCAAGAGTAAAATATTTTTCTGTTCTTGGATGTTATGAAACCGGTAGAACCTACAAAACTAAATTCCTTTATGTACCTGGTACAAATGAAATAGTAAGTTACTAATGTCTTCTTAAAAGTTTGATCAGGATTAAAAACTGATAATAAATACCAGTTTTTAAGCCACTAGGCGACGTCGAAATTATTGTTGGTTGGTTTAATCTATATATTATATTCGATTTCATTGCAAAGGTTTGTTATGTAACAGAGGGATGACGAACAGAATGAAAATGATATTACTGATGATTAGGGAGTCTAAGTGAAATCCTTACATTCGAAAGCATCGTATCTGTTATTATATAATAAAAATGTGTAATAATAATAACACAGTAATGAGTCGCTTGTCGCAGTTAACAGTGCGACTACAAAGTTTACTTTAAGGATCTGACCTACATTGCGGAAAGCAGATGCGTTGGAATTTATAAGAACCTTTTTCATATACTCTCGTGACAGTTAAGTTTTCTTTTTGTTAGTAAACTAAAAACAGAATAAATGCCTACAACAAATCAGGCGATTCCATCTCACACAAGTCGACAGAGAGAAACGACAATGACAACAAACAGTAATGGCAGAGAGAAATGACAATGAAATGAAAAAAATCCACAAAATGTAATACGAAGAAACGTGTAGTATATAAGCGGAATATCAAATAAACGAACACAAAGATATTTCACGAAATGTACCGGTAACTTTATTTTATGTAAAGCTCAAAGGTGCTAAGCTTACAGAACATACGTTGAACATCCTCGGTTGAAAATCATTCAATCCAAACGAGTGAAACAGCGGGCGAAAAGTTCCTAATATAATAAAACAAACCTTCACGCCCAATCTATGATGCGTAATGCGTTAGTGCAACAGTGACTCTAGACAAATTAGACAACATCACGTACATTAAATAAATATTATTAGACAATACCACACACATTGCTTAGATTCCAAGATGAGTGGATAGAGTAGAGAAGGTAACATAACACCCAGACCCGAGACAATATAGAAAAGCTCATTTTTCTACATTGACCCGACCGGGAGTCGAACCCGGGACCTCAGAGATGGCAACACCTTGAAACCGGCGTGCTTATCACTCGGCTTACCTGATTGACTAACGAAATTCTCTGAAGTGAAGTGAAGTGAAGTGTTTACCGAGAGAAGTTATTACTTGAGAATATGTCACAACTTTTACCAAATAAACGACAATTAGAATGTACTTCATTTACTGATTATATTATTCATGTACTAATAATAGATAGTAGGAATACTATAGTTATTATCTATTAACAGTTCTTACTTCATTCAAATTCTCACCTATTTTAAGATATTTGCTTAAGTTATTACTTTTACAAAGTAATTAATTCTATTCGACTATATATGAGTGTGAATCTTTAATTAACCAGAAGAAGCTATGAAAATTAGTGATACATCAATTATATTACTGTGGAAATACAGATTCTTACCAATGAATAATGATGATACTCGGGTAGTCAGGTTCTTATAGAATATGTATGATACCGTCTTGTTTTTTGTATATGTGTGTTATTTTGTGATAAAATATGACCAATTACGGACAAAATAAGAATACAATTCATCTTTTTTATTAAAACCTGACAATAAAATTTGATAGCTTTATTTTGCCCAATGCTCGATGTCCGTCGTAAATTGTTGGTAAAATTTAATTTGTTTCCTCGTATAGCTGTAAGCAACGGAATGTTTGCGAGACAATTACTGTTATAAATTAATTAAATACGAATTTTACAATCCTTTCAATGGAAGTTTCTGTACTGATCACTGAAACAAAAGAACATTTATGTATACAACTCGTGCACGAAAATGAACAAAATTTACAAAATATCTACCTATCATTTGCCAAAATAACGCACAACACAGTAGTATTCTTATCAAGAAATAATAAAGAAAGTACTCGTATTAATGATAAAAATATTTGTGTAATTTCTTTTGACCAACTAATAAAGTAATACTTGCTTGTAATGTCATGATTATAAACATATTTATATATATATTGGGTTTATCAAGCACAGACATAAACACGCACACACACCCCTCATTCACACACACACACACATGCAGAGCGCTCAAATTGTAATATTATTTTATAACTACACATAGGTTTTTTTTGGAATGTGGGGGCCTGGTGATCTGCAATTCAGGCCATAAGTGGTTCTTTCGCAGACTCCAGTCTCTCACAAAGGTAACTCTGGTAATTGAAACTCTGTACTTCAACCATTAAATTCTATCTATTTTCGCGTATTCTACATAACACATGTATGATTCTACAACTCCTAAAATCTCAATATAGGTATTAGTCTTCAAACTGTTTCATTGTCCACAGCATCGAGATACACAAGAGACTCTGGCTGTGCTGGATCGCTTAGACCTCGATACCGAGAAACCTTCAGATGAGGAGGTGGCAAGGAAATTTGGCTTTGAGGAAGATTACTACAACGGCACGGTCTCGTGGTGGCAGCAACTTAAACCCCAAATGTGGTCATTGTTCGATGAGCCATACAGCTCTAATGCTGCGAAGGTAAGCATTCAAAAAATAAGTTCGAACCGCTCAGAATTAGAAGCACGAAGAAGAACTAGAATTGATAGCGGTTATTTGGCTCACAAAATATGGTGATACGATAAAAAAATATGTTAAAGAGTTATATGAATGTTAATTGAAAGATTATGTTGACTAGCATTCATGAACAAAAACATCTTCCCTAGCGAAAACAATTAGAAATATATATTTCTTTGTTAAACCAGCATTCAAAAACTAAATTAAAATCCAAAGTTATGATTTTAGATATCATATACTGCCTTTAGTTTGAACGAAATATGTAATACTTTTATAAAACTTTACTCATAATAGTTCCTAAATTCAAGAAGTTTGCCCCAATGCTATACCTTAATTAAAATATATTGCAAAAATCTATTTAAGTTGCTTTATGAAGTATTAAAATTATCGTATAGCAATCCAAAAGAAAATTCGGAGGAGTTGAGTATTTTAATTTAAATTATTTGAATTAGAAATATCTCATCTCCAAATTTGTGACAATCGTGAGCTCTTTAACTTAAATACAAACTTTGAAATATTTTGTTCCAACTGATATTTTAAGTTTGACATTCTGAAGGTATTTAACAAAACGTATTGTCATTTCATATAAAAAGTTTGCGTATTGATTGAAGGTCATATATCTCATATATTTTCATAACACACTATTCATTTAATAGGATATATAACTCACAATGTGAAGCAAACATTTTTATCGATTAGGTATCACTAATACTGCTTAATTGAATACCATTCCATTATTAATTATATACAAAAATATTGAGGTTTTTTAAATAATAAGGATTAAGTGGCTTTAATAAAAGTTTTGATTTTTTTTTACAGATAATAGGAGTGATATCAGTATTTTTTATATGCGTATCTATAATATCATTCTGCCTGAAAACACATCCAGATATGAGAGTACCAGTTATAAGAAACTACACTGTCACTACTGCTAACCAGACGCAAAGTTGGGCGTTAGATAAAGTCCAAACTAATGCTCACATAGCGTTCTTTTACATCGAGTGCGTCTGTAATGCGTGGTTCACTCTAGAGATCCTCGTTAGATTTATATCGTCGCCCAACAAGTGCGAGTTTGTGAAATCTTCCGTTAACATTATTGACTACATTGCCACCATGAGCTTCTACATCGATCTCATTCTCCAGAAATACGCCTCCCACGTCGAGAATGCAGACATCCTAGAGTTCTTCTCCATAATTAGGATTATGAGGCTATTCAAGCTCACTAGACATTCTTCGGGTCTAAAGATTTTGATCCAAACATTCAGAGCATCTGCCAAAGAATTGACATTATTGGTGTTTTTCTTAGTGTTGGGTATTGTGATTTTCGCAAGTTTGGTGTATTACGCAGAAAGAATACAAACAAATCCCCACAATGACTTTAATAGTATCCCTCTGGGGCTTTGGTGGGCGTTGGTTACCATGACAACTGTGGGGTATGGTGATATGGCTCCGAAGACTTATGTGGGAATGTTTGTTGGTGCCTTGTGTGCTTTGGCTGGTGTAAGTATAATAACTATAACCATTACAAATAAAAAAAATCTGTTTCAAAGTAACTTCGTTATCTTTACAATTCTGCTTAATCAATCACTACATAATTGACTTTATAATATTAATTAGATGCAATTTTGAAAGCTCAATCCAAACAAATTTTTGCAGTAATATATTTTTTCCCATCGCAGAACAAATGATCTAATCTGTTAGTAGGACTGCAGAATGCACTCAAATCATATATACATACCACCAACAGGTGCTGACGATAGCCTTACCCGTACCGGTCATTGTGTCTAACTTTGCAATGTACTACTCACATACGCAAGCAAGAGCGAAGCTGCCTAAGAAACGCAGGCGAGTCATCAATGTTGAGCCTGCAAGACCTCCGATGCGTTAGTATCAATTCCATCAAGCACTATGTCTACTCCCAACACGAGTTAGAAATATTATAATTGAGTTTATGTAATTAGTGGTAAAATATAGTTTATTTTCCTTAAAACTAACGTAAAAGTCTTTTCAAACATTCGGGATTATTAAATTGAATACTGTCTACATGGATTCTTGCCAAACCTCTAATATAATCTCCGATAGAAATTAGGTATCAAATTATCATATACAATAACCTCTAAATTAAGCTAAAATTAATTTAGTCACTCGAACTCTGTATTTTGTGATTTAAATTGAATAAATTAACTGTAACAGGCACTCCAGGGGCTCCTGGAGCTCCCGGGGCCGGACCTTTACCACCAGGGATGGCTCCGCAAGCAATAAATCGTAGGATGAACGCAATTAAAACAAACCATCCCAAAGATATGATGGGACCTAATATGGGTAAGGCATCTGATTCTTAAAAACCCTAATAATTTACTGATTTGAACTACAAAATAGTAATCAGTTCAAATCATTTGAATTAAACACTAAATTCAATTTAGAGGTCAATATTGAACACAGAAAACCAAACTTACAGGCTAATTTCAGTAAGTCTAGTGTAAATATTGTATCCGTTAACTTTATCAGAATTAGTCTTTAAGGTTGGAATTTTTCCACCACAGTAGTAACACCACTTTAAGTGTATAATATCACGTAGACAATCATAATTACTAACGGTACTATACAGTTTATTTTATTCAGCAAACTTTTGCAGATTATTATATTATCCTTATAACCAAAAACACGATATTAAAACATAACTAAAACCACTAAATACCAATTATAAATAGAAATGATTAACATCAACTGTATTATCTACCGCCAATTATTCCGATGCTTATTATTTCTAAACTATTTGGTTCAATCAGAGATTTTTCAGAATTCAAATCATGATATCACTGATAGAAACCAATAATAAATTATTAAACATTAATAACTAACAAACACTGGATTAAATGTAATTGGAGTTAACAATCCCAACTTTAAAGCAGAATCCAAAGAATGCACACCGTTTGAATCAATTCGAGATAATGTTAATGTTTTTTATAATTTAAATAAATCACATTACATAGATTGGAATTGTTTTCTCTAATATCGAAAAAGACGCTCAGTATTGAAACCATAACTGTAGCTTATGCAATGTAATCCTCCACAGATGGTGATCGTAGTGAGCTTGAAGCTATGATCCAAACAACACCAAACAACTGCAAAAGAAAAAATTTAAACATGCTTTAGAAAGCAACACAATGATACCGACGCCGTTGAGACTACAAACGGGCTTTATATATCGCCTGCACATATGGACTTAGCTTACAGGAATGCTACTAACTCTTTAGTCGTCACTAACAAATCATCGTCATTCAACTCATCATCATCATTGCACAAACTGACAATATCTTCAGCAGCACCAATGGAGCCGGCTAGGTCTAACCTGATTGGTTGGGAAATAAGGTTCGAGGTTATTTTGACGTTGTGTGAAAGTCCAGTGCTGGTAGCTGCTTTGTCGCTTATACGTATTTTGATGTCGTCGTAGATATTTCTAGATTATCGAAGTCGTTATTGTCCCTTAGATTAAGATTTGTAACGTTTGCATTTATTTTTATTTCAATGTCTGTGAACTATAATATTAAATAATTTACGTTCATACTTAGACAATGTATTATGTTATGGTCCATGTCTGGTTGTTAGTTTGTTTTTAGTACACTACCTAATGGTCATTTTTTCAGGCTACTGCCCTATATTACCATACCATCAAAGATCGGCAATCAATCAAAACAATACCGCACCAACCGAAGCATCGAACTCATCACCCAACACTGTGGTACACATTAAAAATTAAATTCGTAACACACTAACATATTTATTGCTGCCTAATAAGTGTATAGTAATCGGTATAGATTTGTTATGTCCTTTGTCAGTTACATCTTTTTTATTGATATTTATTTTGTTTTTTGCTTTTTACTATTTTTATATACATATATATTGATGTGAACTTCCATAAAGACTAATATGTTTTAGCATTTAGCACTTTTATATAATGAAATATTTATAACAATTTTTAATTTTAATAGTATCTTGTAACATAAATATTTCCATTGTAAATACATATTCTTATTACACTAAACCCTTGAAAGATGATAAAAAATCAGTAAGCATGCAAATTGCATGATTGTCACGTGATAAAATTTAAATTCTTCTTACTTTAATATATTGTGTATTTAGATAATATTCTGAATATTTATATCAGTTTTGTTTCTAACAGTCGCCACACTGATGCCAGGGATAGATTTAGCCCTAACAACTCGTCTAACTCCAAGTCCTCGAGACATGAGCCCTGCTTTAGCTATTGCGCTGCCGATGATGAAATCCGTCAACATAGTACCAACACAATGCTTCGACAATATGGGTTTTCACGAAGAAAAGATAGAAAACAAACAAATAGACAGCGTAAAAAGTAGCAAAGTATCGAGTAGACAAGAATCTATTGAAAGCGATAACACAGTGAGAGTGAACAATTATAAAAATGAAAGGTATATAAGCAAAGATGAAGAAAAAATTGATGCAAGAACACCATTACTACGAGACCATAAAATCGAATCATTAGATGAAACTAAATTGCGCGAGAATAAAGTAGAAAAAAGAAAGTCTTCTGCTTCTACATAACAAGAACTAATCAATAAACTATACCTTATTACCGTTAAAGTAAAATATGAAATCGACGAGACCAATAGTAAACTAAGGATTTCGTACCATTTCAATATCCTAAGCCACTAATATTGAGGTGCTCCCTCACCTGGAGCACTTGTCTGTAACGTAATAGTCCAAGTTTTTATTATGAGCATTATATTAGGCTTGAGGTATCGCCCTAAGAGTAGTGCCACGCCATTTCTTCATATAGGTGTTGTGTGTGGACAGCAGCGTCTCTCATTTTGATCTTTCGCACATACTGCGATTGCCAACTCGTTTGCCAAGCGTGGCAATTATGGTATTGTCATCCCAAAGATAAATTATATACATCATCCCAAGAGCTTTGTACCCAGCAATAGGCTGGGTACAAAGCTCGTGGGAAAGGTTGCCATTGAGGCAGCAAAGCTTTAGAAGTAACCACGAAGACGCAGCGTAGGTAAGTTTCCCACAAGATGGACTGACGCTCTGGTCAAGATCACTGAGAAGCGTTCAATTAAGTTCACCCGGAACATATCGTAGTTGAAATTTTTGGAGGCCTTTATCCAGGAGTGGCCATCTTTCGGCTAGTATGATGATTAAATTTGTGTCAAGTTGTGCAATTGTTCTACACCAATATTATGCTTTAATCTGTAATATTACAAGTTGTGCAATTTAATGCTCAATTAGCCTCCCTCATTGGGGTAATACTCGACTATTTTACATTACATTCAAATGCTCCGGGCAAAAAAGCACATTTGTACTATTTTTATTTTTTTGGAATAAAACTATGTTAGTATATATGATATTATGTCCAGGTAGTAATATTGGAAATAAAATGTAACGAAATCATATGTACAAGACATTATTTTATTAGAATCTTATTTTTACGTTCCGTAAAATGGGCAATAAAGATCCTATTTTTTATTGCGTGTCCTAATAATGTAGACTATTTGAGACTTTATATTATAACTGAAACTAAAGTGAGATAGCGTACTGCTTTTATGGGACTAACTGTCACTAATGAAGATAAAGGATAGAATACAGTGCTATAACTGTACGTTAATGGAATATAATCTAATGTATTTTCTTAAGATCAACATACAAAGGCCGTGATAGATGTAAGATAGCTTTGAATAAGGTTACTTATTTTTCACATAAATTGTATAGAAAATAGTTGCCTATCACGAATTAGATATTAGTCGACAATTACTTTGACTTGATGTTTTGCTGAAGTTGGATAAAACAAAAACATATCATCAAGATATACGAAAAATTTTACATACGATTTAGAGCTCATCTCCATATACTGTATAAATTACCTTACATATATTTTCAATTCTACAAACAATTTCACCATCTCCCACTGCGTAAGCGGCGTGAAATATCAGATGTGATATGCTTATTTTTTTAATTAGTCTTTATTAAACCTTTAATTGGTTATCTGTAATTTTATATGAAACTTAAATATAAATTTCAAGTGCTGTTGGTCTCTTCATAAAAATATAAATAAATGAACACTGATAAGGTTAATGTAAGTAGGTACAGATTACTAAGTAAATTTATACTTAAGTCATATAATAAATTATGCATAATCCTACTTTAAAAGTAATAATTTATCTGGCCGAATCTCGATGTGTGAAGCTTATACATACGTGGCATAATCTTCTTTGGACAAATAGTCATAAGCCTTAGAAATCATTTAACATTTATATTTTATTCCCGGATTTCCAATGGTATACTATTAACATGGTAGAAGTTGGTATTATTACTTTTGGAAAAATTTAATTACTTACAGAATTGCGTTATCATTACAAACAGAGAATCGATCAATCGGTTAGGTTTAATAAAACGTCAACATATTTCAACTATATGGCTTTGCACTAAGAAAAGAAAGAAAACTAACAAAAAGACAGTTTAAACAATAGTAAAGCTTCGAGTAGATAAGGAACATAGAAAGCGAAAACACAGTGATTGTCGAAATAATTACCACTAGAACACCTTTAAACCATTATATCAAATCATCAGATGAAAGCTAGTTGCGCAAAATTAAAATAAAAAAGAGAAAATCTTCAGCTTCTATAAAACAAATACATCAACAAATTATTCCGTTAAAATGAAATAGGAAATCAACGACCTACAAAGTACTAAGGATTTCTTTGCATTTAAATATTCTAAATCGCAAATAATAAGGTGCTTATGTAATTGTGTATATTTAAAAATATATCAGGTTAATTTCTATAAGTTACAACACTGATGCCAGGATGATTCATCTAACTTCAAGCCATCAATTCACCTCGATGCATAGTAGAAAGACTCGATTTGTACTATCTGGTTTTGTCAGAAAACATAAAAGATTAAAAAAGTATAGATAAGACTTCATTGAAAGCAACAACACGGCAAGAGTCGAAAATTACGAAAGGTACATATAATACGTATACGTATAAGTAAGGGCGAAGACAAAATTTACGCTAGAACGCTTTTATTAAGAGAACATAAAATCAAATTACTGGATTAAAGCAATTTGAGCTAGAGTAAAATAAAAATGAGAAAACCTCAAAATTTTTTTAAACCAAAAACTCAAATCTCATAAACAAGAATCGAAAGAAATCAACAACACTACAAGAGTTAACAATTACAAAAACGATCATTATACCTTTGAGTAATAGTGAGCAAAAATTGATGTTCACATAATGAAATTACTAGATGAAAGTATAAAATAGAAAAGCCGAAACTCTTCAACTTTGACATAACAAGATACCATCATGAAAGTTAAATCTACGCAACTAATAAAAACTAAAGATTTCTTTCCGTTTAAAGTCCTAAACCACTATTATAAATTCCTTGTATTGCCTGAAGCATTTGCCTGTAATATGATATTTTTCAAATATAATGCTTAAGTTATAATTATTATTATAATGCTTATAATGCTTAAAACGGGGACATTCCCCGACTTAAGCATTTGCCTGTAATGTTTGTGACATGTTATATAATTTACCAAAATCTGCATTAAATGTCTGTTCTGACCCTTCGCCGATCTTATGCTCTGTAGCATTACAGCAATATAATATTCGATTTATTTCCCTCATTGGTGTAATGAAATCTGTAACGTTACATTGTATTAAAATGCTTCAGGCGACCGACACCTTTAAACTTTTTTGCAATTAACATATATAAGTAGGTGTGATATTAAGTAAAAGTGGTAAAAAAATCTGAAGGAAACAAATAACAACCTAAACGAACGCGTGTGTGCACCTTTAAAAATATCCCAGACTTTTTTAAATTTCGCATCACTGATCGTAAGAAAAGATCTCAGTAAAAACTCATCTAACTCCAAGTCCAAGTCATGAGCCCAGTTCTAGTCATACTGATGATGAATTCCGGAACATGAATAAAATACATAAAAAACAGGAAGTCTAAAGAGTAGCAAAGTATCGAGTAGACAAGAATCCATAGAAAGCGACAACACAGTGAGGGTGAACAATTATATAACTGAACGGTATATAACCAAGGATGAAGAAAATTTTTTTGCAAAGACACCATTATTGAAAGACCATAAAATCGAATCTTTCAACGAAACTAGAAAAACCTTTCGGCTTCTTCTTAAAAATGATTCTGTCTTTCTAAATTATGAGTTTTGAATTCGAATCATAAATATATCTATATATACATATGATTCGAATTCATATATATATATATACCAAACGACTTTCTGGGAAATAAAGTTTATGCCACCCTTTGTTTCGCTTAATAGCATTGGCATAAAATATAAGACATTTATTCGATATTTTAATTGTGCATTTATTTAAAATTTCTTAAAATTATTTAAAATCTTTACAGTCAAAATATCAAGTTAAAGTTGCAATATTCATTATAATTAGTACCGATTTCGATAAATAACTTTACTGTGAGTTTTAGCAAAAGATATTGGACAGCATCTACGTAAAACTGAAATAAACGTAAAATTTTACGAAAATAATGAAATTCAATAATTTTGTGTAGTACTGTTAAAACTCATAGCTAAAAAAAACACGACTTGTAATTCGTGAATGCATAGATAGTACGCGTATACTGTCCATTAGATGGAAGAGAAAATTTAGTTTTATTTACGGAATAATATCAAAATTAAAAATGTTTTGATATTTATAAAGAAATTTGATTATTGACATAAAAGATATTTATATGTCATAAGAGAATCCTCTCAGCAGAAGTTGTAAAATATCTTCACTTATTTCACAGTAATTTCCAAAATAGTGGTTACAGTACTAGTTACTAAGTCTAAGTGATAATACGTGTTTCTTTTATTGCAATAAAGTATGCGACCTAAAATAAAAAAGTTATTAGTGATGGAATATTATTGAAAATATAATGTATTTTGAAAAAAAAAACTATCACGTCCAAAAACTTCGTCCGTAAATAAAACAAATTTTCTCTGCGTGTTGTTTTAAGTAAATTTATCAGTAATATTGTAAATAAGGAATGAAATAATAGCGTTAATAATTTTATATCTTAACAGTTATATACAATCACTAGAAAACATATCATCAGCACCTTCTTCATTATCGGTGTTATATTGTTTTAAATGTATAAAATTCTATGTTTATCATAGATATATAAGTAATAAAATAAGGTAGATAGAATGCAATGAAATGATTTCCCCAGATAATATGTGACAGTTAATTTCTTAAACTACAGTAAAAAAAAAACTTCTTAATTTTAAAATCATCAAAGCTATGAAAAAGAAACTTACATTTATTTGCAAAGCTGTATTAACGTTTTTATTGTAAAAATATAATATAAAACAAAAATTTATGTCTAAATTTTGGGACCCTTGATGTTTTCAAATTTTATAAGTAATGAATGTTGCTATGTATCGTTGAATATTAAAAGTAGTAATGCTTTATTTTACCGTTATTATTTCTCTATTAATTATTTAGATTAAATATCTGTCACAAATTTTTATAGATACGCATTTAATGCAATAATTTTAAAGTCTGTAGATAGCACAAAACATGGTTTCTAATGGGATAACAAAGATGTATATAATTTTTAGATTTTAAAGACACTCGCAGTGTATTTAAATTAAATTACCTCGTTCCAGTTTGGCAGAAGGGCTGAGTTAATATAATTTCACAGCGTTGACTGTATTTTTAGCATAATTTAAACTGTAAGTTTGCATAATTTTAATATTTTAAACGCTTTATTTATAGAAAGATGTACAATAAATCAAATCAAATCAAAATTATTTAGTCTACGGCGGGAGACCTTGTAATAAAAACTCGTTTAATTTTACTCACACTGAAATATATCAACAAGCGTCAACTATTAGTAGGTACTATTTGGTACTAAGGTAATTGGTACGTCGTCTGAGGCTGAATATAAACAGGTAAAGTATAAGCAGGCTCAGTGTAAAGCCTAGTGTAAACTTGACACTAAACTATATCTTTCGTTCACAATATACTGCCAATACGCTACAAATTACAATACGCCAATGTGACACAAAACAGTCTGTTTACGTTCACAAAATATGTCAGAGCGCTAGGATCTAATAAGCCATTACTATCAGCTAAGTAGCATCAGTGTACACGATACACTACTAAAATCGTCCACCGAATATCAGTGCCTATGCTACGCCAATTTATTGCGTAATAATGTATTGTTGGTTTAGTGTAAACGAAAAGATGATTATTTGTAGAATTAACTGCTCGATCAGGCTTATACCGCACTGCTATATAAACGCAAGTCTGGGGGCCAATTCTACTAAATAAATTTTGTTTAAATCTGATCGAAAACGGATCGATACCGAACGAAACTACAGTTTTTATTGGTTTTTCGTAACACACTAACATATTTATTGCTGCCTAATAAGTGTATAGTAATCGGTATAGATTTGTTATGTCCTTTGTCAGTTACATCTTTTTTATTGAAATTTATTTAGTTTTTTGCTTTTTACTATTTTTATATACATATATATTGATGTGAACTTCCATAAAGACTAATATGTTTTAGCATTTAGCACTTTTATATAATGAAATATTTATAACAATTTTTAATTTTAATAGTATCTTGTAACATAAATATTTCCATTGTAAATACATATTCTTATTACACTAAACCCTTGAAAGATGATAAAAAATCAGTAAGCATGCAAATTGCATGATTGTCACGTGATAAAATTTAAATTCTTCTTACTTTAATATATTGTGTATTTAGATAATATTCTGAATATTTATATCAGTTTTGTTTCTAACAGTCGCCACACTGATGCCAGGGATAGATTTAGCCCTAACAACTCGTCTAACTCCAAGTCCTCGAGACATGAGCCCTGCTTTAGCTATTGCGCTGCCGATGATGAAATCCGTCAACATAGTACCAACACAATGCTTCGACAATATGGGTTTTCACGAAGAAAAGATAGAAAACAAACAAATAGACAGCGTAAAAAGTAGCAAAGTATCGAGTAGACAAGAATCTATTGAAAGCGATAACACAGTGAGAGTGAACAATTATAAAAATGAAAGGTATATAAGCAAAGATGAAGAAAAAATTGATGCAAGAACACCATTACTACGAGACCATAAAATCGAATCATTAGATGAAACTAAATTGCGCGAGAATAAAGTAGAAAAAAGAAAGTCTTCTGCTTCTACATAACAAGAACTAATCAATAAACTATACCTTATTACCGTTAAAGTAAAATATGAAATCGACGAGACCAATAGTAAACTAAGGATTTCGTACCATTTCAATATCCTAAGCCACTAATATTGAGGTGCTCCCTCACCTGGAGCACTTGTCTGTAACGTAATAGTCCAAGTTTTTATTATGAGCATTATATTAGGCTTGAGGTATCGCCCTAAGAGTAGTGCCACGCCATTTCTTCATATAGGTGTTGTGTGTGGACAGCAGCGTCTCTCATTTTGATCTTTCGCACATACTGCGATTGCCAACTCGTTTGCCAAGCGTGGCAATTATGGTATTGTCATCCCAAAGATAAATTATATACATCATCCCAAGAGCTTTGTACCCAGCAATAGGCTGGGTACAAAGCTCGTGGGAAAGGTTGCCATTGAGGCAGCAAAGCTTTAGAAGTAACCACGAAGACGCAGCGTAGGTAAGTTTCCCACAAGATGGACTGACGCTCTGGTCAAGATCACTGAGAAGCGTTCAATTAAGTTCACCCGGAACATATCGTAGTTGAAATTTTTGGAGGCCTTTATCCAGGAGTGGCCATCTTTCGGCTAGTATGATGATTAAATTTGTGTCAAGTTGTGCAATTGTTCTACACCAATATTATGCTTTAATCTGTAATATTACAAGTTGTGCAATTTAATGCTCAATTAGCCTCCCTCATTGGGGTAATACTCGACTATTTTACATTACATTCAAATGCTCCGGGCAAAAAAGCACATTTGTACTATTTTTATTTTTTTGGAATAAAACTATGTTAGTATATATGATATTATGTCCAGGTAGTAATATTGGAAATAAAATGTAACGAAATCATATGTACAAGACATTATTTTATTAGAATCTTATTTTTACGTTCCGTAAAATGGGCAATAAAGATCCTATTTTTTATTGCGTGTCCTAATAATGTAGACTATTTGAGACTTTATATTATAACTGAAACTAAAGTGAGATAGCGTACTGCTTTTATGGGACTAACTGTCACTAATGAAGATAAAGGATAGAATACAGTGCTATAACTGTACGTTAATGGAATATAATCTAATGTATTTTCTTAAGATCAACATACAAAGGCCGTGATAGATGTAAGATAGCTTTGAATAAGGTTACTTATTTTTCACATAAATTGTATAGAAAATAGTTGCCTATCACGAATTAGATATTAGTCGACAATTACTTTGACTTGATGTTTTGCTGAAGTTGGATAAAACAAAAACATATCATCAAGATATACGAAAAATTTTACATACGATTTAGAGCTCATCTCCATATACTGTATAAATTACCTTACATATATTTTCAATTCTACAAACAATTTCACCATCTCCCACTGCGTAAGCGGCGTGAAATATCAGATGTGATATGCTTATTTTTTTAATTAGTCTTTATTAAACCTTTAATTGGTTATCTGTAATTTTATATGAAACTTAAATATAAATTTCAAGTGCTGTTGGTCTCTTCATAAAAATATAAATAAATGAACACTGATAAGGTTAATGTAAGTAGGTACAGATTACTAAGTAAATTTATACTTAAGTCATATAATAAATTATGCATAATCCTACTTTAAAAGTAATAATTTATCTGGCCGAATCTCGATGTGTGAAGCTTATACATACGTGGCATAATCTTCTTTGGACAAATAGTCATAAGCCTTAGAAATCATTTAACATTTATATTTTATTCCCGGATTTCCAATGGTATACTATTAACATGGTAGAAGTTGGTATTATTACTTTTGGAAAAATTTAATTACTTACAGAATTGCGTTATCATTACAAACAGAGAATCGATCAATCGGTTAGGTTTAATAAAACGTCAACATATTTCAACTATATGGCTTTGCACTAAGAAAAGAAAGAAAACTAACAAAAAGACAGTTTAAACAATAGTAAAGCTTCGAGTAGATAAGGAACATAGAAAGCGAAAACACAGTGATTGTCGAAATAATTACCACTAGAACACCTTTAAACCATTATATCAAATCATCAGATGAAAGCTAGTTGCGCAAAATTAAAATAAAAAAGAGAAAATCTTCAGCTTCTATAAAACAAATACATCAACAAATTATTCCGTTAAAATGAAATAGGAAATCAACGACCTACAAAGTACTAAGGATTTCTTTGCATTTAAATATTCTAAATCGCAAATAATAAGGTGCTTATGTAATTGTGTATATTTAAAAATATATCAGGTTAATTTCTATAAGTTACAACACTGATGCCAGGATGATTCATCTAACTTCAAGCCATCAATTCACCTCGATGCATAGTAGAAAGACTCGATTTGTACTATCTGGTTTTGTCAGAAAACATAAAAGATTAAAAAAGTATAGATAAGACTTCATTGAAAGCAACAACACGGCAAGAGTCGAAAATTACGAAAGGTACATATAATACGTATACGTATAAGTAAGGGCGAAGACAAAATTTACGCTAGAACGCTTTTATTAAGAGAACATAAAATCAAATTACTGGATTAAAGCAATTTGAGCTAGAGTAAAATAAAAATGAGAAAACCTCAAAATTTTTTTAAACCAAAAACTCAAATCTCATAAACAAGAATCGAAAGAAATCAACAACACTACAAGAGTTAACAATTACAAAAACGATCATTATACCTTTGAGTAATAGTGAGCAAAAATTGATGTTCACATAATGAAATTACTAGATGAAAGTATAAAATAGAAAAGCCGAAACTCTTCAACTTTGACATAACAAGATACCATCATGAAAGTTAAATCTACGCAACTAATAAAAACTAAAGATTTCTTTCCGTTTAAAGTCCTAAACCACTATTATAAATTCCTTGTATTGCCTGAAGCATTTGCCTGTAATATGATATTTTTCAAATATAATGCTTAAGTTATAATTATTATTATAATGCTTATAATGCTTAAAACGGGGACATTCCCCGACTTAAGCATTTGCCTGTAATGTTTGTGACATGTTATATAATTTACCAAAATCTGCATTAAATGTCTGTTCTGACCCTTCGCCGATCTTATGCTCTGTAGCATTACAGCAATATAATATTCGATTTATTTCCCTCATTGGTGTAATGAAATCTGTAACGTTACATTGTATTAAAATGCTTCAGGCGACCGACACCTTTAAACTTTTTTGCAATTAACATATATAAGTAGGTGTGATATTAAGTAAAAGTGGTAAAAAAATCTGAAGGAAACAAATAACAACCTAAACGAACGCGTGTGTGCACCTTTAAAAATATCCCAGACTTTTTTAAATTTCGCATCACTGATCGTAAGAAAAGATCTCAGTAAAAACTCATCTAACTCCAAGTCCAAGTCATGAGCCCAGTTCTAGTCATACTGATGATGAATTCCGGAACATGAATAAAATACATAAAAAACAGGAAGTCTAAAGAGTAGCAAAGTATCGAGTAGACAAGAATCCATAGAAAGCGACAACACAGTGAGGGTGAACAATTATATAACTGAACGGTATATAACCAAGGATGAAGAAAATTTTTTTGCAAAGACACCATTATTGAAAGACCATAAAATCGAATCTTTCAACGAAACTAGAAAAACCTTTCGGCTTCTTCTTAAAAATGATTCTGTCTTTCTAAATTATGAGTTTTGAATTCGAATCATAAATATATCTATATATACATATGATTCGAATTCATATATATATATATACCAAACGACTTTCTGGGAAATAAAGTTTATGCCACCCTTTGTTTCGCTTAATAGCATTGGCATAAAATATAAGACATTTATTCGATATTTTAATTGTGCATTTATTTAAAATTTCTTAAAATTATTTAAAATCTTTACAGTCAAAATATCAAGTTAAAGTTGCAATATTCATTATAATTAGTACCGATTTCGATAAATAACTTTACTGTGAGTTTTAGCAAAAGATATTGGACAGCATCTACGTAAAACTGAAATAAACGTAAAATTTTACGAAAATAATGAAATTCAATAATTTTGTGTAGTACTGTTAAAACTCATAGCTAAAAAAAACACGACTTGTAATTCGTGAATGCATAGATAGTACGCGTATACTGTCCATTAGATGGAAGAGAAAATTTAGTTTTATTTACGGAATAATATCAAAATTAAAAATGTTTTGATATTTATAAAGAAATTTGATTATTGACATAAAAGATATTTATATGTCATAAGAGAATCCTCTCAGCAGAAGTTGTAAAATATCTTCACTTATTTCACAGTAATTTCCAAAATAGTGGTTACAGTACTAGTTACTAAGTCTAAGTGATAATACGTGTTTCTTTTATTGCAATAAAGTATGCGACCTAAAATAAAAAAGTTATTAGTGATGGAATATTATTGAAAATATAATGTATTTTGAAAAAAAAAACTATCACGTCCAAAAACTTCGTCCGTAAATAAAACAAATTTTCTCTGCGTGTTGTTTTAAGTAAATTTATCAGTAATATTGTAAATAAGGAATGAAATAATAGCGTTAATAATTTTATATCTTAACAGTTATATACAATCACTAGAAAACATATCATCAGCACCTTCTTCATTATCGGTGTTATATTGTTTTAAATGTATAAAATTCTATGTTTATCATAGATATATAAGTAATAAAATAAGGTAGATAGAATGCAATGAAATGATTTCCCCAGATAATATGTGACAGTTAATTTCTTAAACTACAGTAAAAAAAAAACTTCTTAATTTTAAAATCATCAAAGCTATGAAAAAGAAACTTACATTTATTTGCAAAGCTGTATTAACGTTTTTATTGTAAAAATATAATATAAAACAAAAATTTATGTCTAAATTTTGGGACCCTTGATGTTTTCAAATTTTATAAGTAATGAATGTTGCTATGTATCGTTGAATATTAAAAGTAGTAATGCTTTATTTTACCGTTATTATTTCTCTATTAATTATTTAGATTAAATATCTGTCACAAATTTTTATAGATACGCATTTAATGCAATAATTTTAAAGTCTGTAGATAGCACAAAACATGGTTTCTAATGGGATAACAAAGATGTATATAATTTTTAGATTTTAAAGACACTCGCAGTGTATTTAAATTAAATTACCTCGTTCCAGTTTGGCAGAAGGGCTGAGTTAATATAATTTCACAGCGTTGACTGTATTTTTAGCATAATTTAAACTGTAAGTTTGCATAATTTT